CTGCATCACAGGGCACTTCCTGACCATTTCTTTTTCCAGTCCCCTGTTTTGACTTCTGATGCATTTTCATTGTTAAAATTACAGCTTACTGGGCGTGGATATTCATACTAGTATCACCCTGTGTGCTTCTACTCCTTTATATCTGTATATATCTGTACATTTACCCCGTTACTCTTCACAAGCACCTGTACGCCATTGTGTCAATTCTGGCACAAAGAATGAAAGAAAATGTCTTTATTATGGCAATAATGTTGCCTCAGCATACTATTATTATTATTATTATTATTATTATTATCATTAATTCGCTTTTTGTCATTGTTCTTGGGTTTTTTTTTTTGCCTTTTGTACTCGCAGGTTTGTCACATCACACATTGGACAATGAGACACAGCAGCAGTGACCAAAGCACAATGAGGTCAGAAGGTGGAAGCACGTGAGGGAATCTGTAAAAGGGAAGTAAAGAGTAAAGTCTTTCATTTTATTTATTTTTTATTTTTTATTTTTGCAAAATCAGCTGGTAATGTTCTCATGGTGTGAGGATGTAATCCTCACCTTCGACACGTACACAGACACACTCGCTGCGTTTATCTTGCATGCCCTTCTTTTTCATTCATCTTCTTCTTTTGTTCTCCGTCTGTTATTGTGGATCAAAACGCATTACGATCATTCCAAGAAGGAAACTGATTCGGCTTAAGCAAATTTTCTTTTACTCTTTTTTGTTAAATACTGGACTATTTAACAAAGGCACAAGGGGCACATTTAACGTGTTGACAATCAAATATTCATAATGTGTTTATGACATGCCAATACACAGTCCTGTGTAGGGTGCCTGTTTTTTCCAACCCACACTGCCGTGCATACACAGTCAGATCTCCACACATATGAGTGTTCAGATTATTGCACAATGTTATGATGATTGTGTGATTGTTCCATGATTTTTGGTAAACTTTTTAAATCTGCCTTAATCAGGATCGAATTCTGAGGTCACACACAGGCTGAAAGAAGCAGGAAGTGACCCCCCACGCCCCCCACCACCATGCCCTAAACCCCTCTCCCTTAGCTCCAGCATCTCATGAAGTCATGAGCTCCTGGTTTAGAAGAATATGTCCAACTCTCCCTATCAGCACCTCCTCTCCAGGACATCTCTTAAATCATCATAGCTCCGAAATATACACACACTGGTTAGAAGGCAGTCTTTTGTCATTGTGTGTTGATGGAGGTTTGGGGAAAGGACAGGGACAAGGTAGAAATACTTAAAAGGGTCTTTTCAACAGTGAAGGACACTATACTAAAAAAAAAAAGCCTTTCACAAACCAAATAAATAATTTAAGGAAAACAGAGGGATTCTGAAATTTTATACTGGAAAATATACAAAAATGTAGATTAATGATGTGGTGTATGTGTGTTCCTCTCTTTTTCTACAGGGCTGTACTGCATGCGTCATTGCTGACATATGGGACCGCAAATGAGAAGCTGATTTGTAGTTTTAAATGTGTTAAACACGTCTGCGTCAAGCTCCACAGGAGATATCCCATGGAAATAATGTTTGTAAACGTATTAAGTGATGCCAGCTTTTTTGTTTTGCAGTGCTTTTCCTGCTTAGACGTAAAATCACTGTTAATTCACGACAGCGGGCAGAATGAAATTTTCGTTACGAGTTAATGTGCGTCTGTGCTGTAGTGCTGGCTTTTCAGACGTAAGAGTGGATGTCTGCATGCCTGGATTCGAGACACTGCCATTATGTGCAAACGTGCAGTGAAGAAAACGTGCAAAGTTTCCCACAGCATCCTGAGATTTATATGATTACTTTGTTGAGATTTTGCATATACACTGTTATGCAAATGTCACTAAATACTTGAAAGCTACACGCACGTGTTCTGCACCTACGTTTGTGTATCAGGCAGAAAGTCTTCAGATAAGCACAACAAGAATTACATAGAAACTATACAATTTTACAGTTTGCAGAGAAACTCACTTAGCATGGAGTAAGTTAAAATAAAAATAAGAGAAGTGAACTTTTCCAAAAAATATGTCAATAAATAGATACACTCCCTTGTAAAGGGTGCCCTAATAAATGCATTCAAATACGAGTTACCTTGAACATATAACATTTAACTCAGGTGTAGATTTTCTCCATGATAACAGACTTCTGTTTCCCTTAATGTAACAACAGGTAAGATAAGACACACATAGCATGTGAACAAACTGTATCCAGTTATTACTGAGGTGTGTGCGTGTGTGTGTTTTGCTATACAATCCTGTTTTCTTCTTCAAGATTCTTTGCTTTGCTATGTAATTCATTTCTTTTAAAATTAATATTACATTTCAGCTCAGTCTCTTTCTTTCTTGTTTTCTCTTTCAGGTGTTTAAAAAGTCAATGATATGTAAAACTTAAACAGATTTCCCAACTGTGATTTCATTTTCTCCTTTCCCCTTAATATACACCGAATTTCAATTTTGTGGTACATCATTAACTGTGTGTATTATTATCATTATTATTGTCTTTAAATAAAGTTATTTCAAGTCTCTATGCAACAACATGGATGATTAATAAAAGCCTTGAAAAATCCTGCATCGTGTGTCTTCATTAAGTTTGCATGTTTGATTTGAGGAGATACGTGTTGTAAAGAATTAGGTATTCACACATCAATGTGATTCTTTGCTGTAAAGACGCACATGGAACTACACAATAATAAAAGCCGGTAGATATGACGTATTGCAGTGTGTGTGTGTGTGTGTGTGTGTGTGTGTGTGCATGTGTAAGCTGAATCTGACAGACGTAAAGATTCAGAATAAAATCTATACTGATCTCCTGTAAAATCCTTGTAAAGAAAAAAAGGAAAATATAAAAGTTGATGAAAGAATGCGATGTTTGTGTGTTGTACAAAAACTAGTCAGTGTCTTAGAGTGCACGGACACAAATCTCATCATCTTGTCACACTTTTCTGTATCAAAAATAACAAACACAATGACTCTAAACATGTGGTGTTAAATTACTACGGTCCAGCACATTGCGTTATTAAAAGAAGTCTGTGTGCTTCTTATAAACATATTTTACTCATCAGGAGCTTAAAAAAAATAATGAAAGAAAAAAGTCAGATATATTTCTCGATTATTTATCAGCGCTGTAGGTTTGAGTTTCACTTTTTACCCACTCACTATCATGCCAGCCGTACTCACCATCAGACTCACGGTCACCACTTTAGGCACTTTACATGTGGGATGCTGGGTTAATCTAACTTTCATCCAGACTCCTTTGAAAGCTTAAAGCCAACAGTTCAGATCCATGTTTACAGTTGCTGCATTTCTATTTTTAGATGTCATGCGCTTATATAACGCTCACACTCACATTATGGACCACTCATGTCTGCTCCACTTGGCTGAACTGTGTACTCCGTATGTGTGTGTCTGTATATTAAGTTTGATTCAATTACACACATCGTGTCTATGAAACAAAGAGGAGTTACAATCAGAATAATCACGGCAATAAAACAAATAATCAAACCATTTGTTTTTTTTTAAAGAAAGCAGAGTTAAGACTAAATATCTATCACAAGTGGATTTGTGGACACACATCTTTGAAATTAAAACACAGGATTCTGCATGGTGTCAATTTATTATTTACACCTCCATCTGGGATGCTAAAAAATAATTTCCCACAAATTCAAAACAATTGTTTTTCAAAATGTTTTGGGTGGAAATGTTGTAAAAGAGGTTTTTTTTGTTTTGTTTTGGTTTTTTTTTACAAGATTTCTTACTATATTTCAAAAACATGACACGTATATTTGCTAAACCCAGAAAACTCCAAAAAAAATGTAAGTTCTACTATTGCCATTAAATTGCCTTTAAAAACAGTAAGGTGTAGACAAAAGCAAGCATAATGATAAAATGTAAGTATTTTTATAAAAGAAAACAGGGAGAAAAAAAATACACACACTTCGGGTGTAAAATTGAAATGGGTGTTTCATATTGCATTTTCAGTCTACAGTATTTCAAACAATATGAAAACACAGGTAAAAAGAATGTGTGTTTTCATTGACTACTGAAAACTGATCAAATCACTGTCCTCATTAAAGCTTTCTACGGTGTAATCAAGACACCGTGTTGAGCACTTTTGAAATTGCTGCCAGTGGACATAACAGTATATACAGTACATGTATATATGTAGTCTTAAGATGGGAGAACATTAAACATTAACATCTACAATACAAGCATTTTCCCCACACAAGAGATTAGAAACACAACTGGCACATTTAGTGTACTACGAGAAAATACATGAAATACAGAAAAGAATATGAAAACAAGAAAAAGAAAAGATGGGCAAATTTGAGCAATTAATAGAACAATGCAAGCAGGTTCAGCTTCAGCCTGAAAAAAGAAATGTTTGTTTAAAGTGACACTTGGAGAAAAGGTATGTGCAAGCGCATATACAGCTATTAAACAAACAGAGAAAACACGTGAAATAACACAAGCATGGTATGGCTTGGAATACTGAAGGTGTAGTATTAGTGTTATTATTTGTGGGAAGAAAAAAAATATTCAGTATTTTTAACCAAAGAAGGCAAAGCACACTAAGGGCAAATGAGAGGTAGAGTTAGGGCACTATAACGCTTACAATATTAAGGGATGAAACGTAAAATAAAAAAGTAAGATTATAAACATTAGAAGGACGTAAAAGTAGAAACTGATATGATGTTACCAAGTTAGTAAATCCTTAAACCGTAATGCTTCATAGAGTGAAAACGGTCCCTTTTGAAATGTGATTTTTTTTTTTAAATTAAAGTTGTTACTTTACACCAACATAACAGGTAGGAAGTTAAGATGTTATATAGAAGAATTTAACGCGTATATTTTGCAAAACATTGTAGCCGCATGACGGTCGTTTTGGGTCCAGCCTGTGCTGGAACAGTAGGTGGTAGTAACGAGTAGATTTGTTGCGATGGGGGTTTTAAAAGCATTAAAAGAAGAAGAAGAGAACGGGCCAATCACAGGCAGTCAAACACTGATGCGGAAGTGTCCAACAGAGGAAGGGTTCTGGCTGACGTATGTATGTGCACTTTGAGCACTTTGTCATCACGTTAATATAGATACAATAAATTCAGGCACTAGTATAGATACGCAGTTCAGACACAGAAGTGTGTAGTGCAGCTATGTCGTTCAGCGGAGAAGCCGTGTTTCGGGCCGTGGAGGCACCGCTGTTCTGGCTCGGTGCTCTGACCGCGGCCTGGTTGTCTCTGTGCACCGTGTACCGACTGCTGTCCGGGTTCAGGGTGTGGGTGCTGGGCAACGGACGGCTCCTGTCACCCGCCAAACTAGGAAAGTGGGCAGGTGAGAAACTAATTGGGGAGACTACCAGCCAGTTTTATTTATTCAAGTAGTAATGGTACAATATAAAGGGACCTGTCCTGTTGTCCTGTCGGTTGTATTAAGTAGCTATTCTTTGTCTGAACATAACACCCCACCCCACTATATATATATATATATAATTGAAATGTGCAAAATGATAGTTTTTCTGATATGTAAACAGAATTAAACAGTGGAGCATTAATCTTTTTTCTGTTTAACTTTGTTACAGTGTTATTCTGTAGTATAAGTATTATAAGTCACTTCCATAATAAATTCTTTTATAACTCAGTACTGTTTGACACATTAGTTGGTAACATTGCAGGGAATGTATTGTCATCATTATTACAGCTTATGCGTCAGCTTATTTGACCATCGTTTGAAATCATAGAGGAAAGACGAAAAAACACCCCCTCCCCCCCACACACATTTTATTGATTGGTCTGATGTCATGATACCTGGTCTATCTTTTTGATTTTGGATTGAAATTATATCTGATCCATATGTGGTTTCTGTGTATCTCTAGTTCCAGGGTTGAATTTCTTTAAGGTCTCACATGTGCTAAAAAAATCTTATTTGACTGAGATTATCAGAACACCAGCTACAGCTAACAAACCGATGAACAGTGAGAGTAACTCCACTGAGGCAGAACACATGGCTTGTATTAGATGAGGTCCTATGCAAAAGCCCTGCTACTGCCCTTATAAAAGCAATTTATATTTGCCAGTGCCACTATCCCGAGTCAGGTCAGGTCTTTGTTTGTTAGTCTGAGAGTCTGACCACTTTTTTTGTTTGTTTTTTCTCTTGTAAAATCCTTCGGCGTCTTAGGGAGAATATTTAGCACAAATGACCTAAAGTATGGCACGTACCATTGCCTGATGTCCTTGAAAAATGAACATTTTTCTCACCAGATTTGGTGCCGTGCAACTTTGGCCTTTTAATAAAATGTAGCTGGTGCCTTTCACTGTAAGATACAATCCAAATTCAAAGCAGGTGCAGGTTTTTGCATTTTATAGATGCAATAGTTTAACATTTCTAATCACACCTCGTGTCTCTGTAGTTTATTTGTTTCTTAGGGTGAACTGGATTGCACTGGGCTGTGATGGTGCACCTAACATAATACAGAATGTACAGTGGACTACAAGCACACACGGTGCTCTCTAATGGACTCTCCTATTCTTGAAACCACTGGGAACGACTCATGCTGGGGTTGTTGCGGTGTGTCACAGCTGTGGCTGCTCTGTTTAATGTTTCACTCTGGTGGGGTGATTGTGACGTATCCAGTCGTCCCATATTGCTTCAGCATATACTTGTTACACACTAAGACTTCTTTAGTAAAGCAGCAGAAAATCCTTTGATGCCTTTTTTGTTTAAAAGGAATACATAGTGTTGAAGGGATGATCAGCCCTTTTGTCATCACTTGTAAAACAGTTGCAAGTCTTATCATTGGATTATGGCTCGAGGGGATTATCAAGTTAGATTGAATGCTGTCCATCTGTCCTACCTGCTTACTGATTGAACCTTGAAATTTGAACAGACTGGCCTGCCGGGATTGCTTTGGTGTTGGCAAGTCTGGTGTACAAAGTTCACACCAACATCAGAGTTGGTAGCTCACAAATCTCAGAAGTTTTTTACATAATGATTCATTTAGGCACCCCAGAAGAGCCCAGGACCTGTAGGGCCTGTCAGTAAAAAAACTACATAGTCAATGAAAATCCAAACCTGAAATTAAAATGCTTATAAGGCATCATAGAAGTATTATCAATGCCTTTCCAATCTCTATTTGCTGATTCCACAATCTTTTGATTGCATATTTATATTGTATATTTCTCTTTTTGTCTTGGGCACGTTCTCCTGACTCCTTTACCATTTCCAACAATTCAAGATTCAAGGCTAAAATCAGAGGACTCTACATCTTTCTCAGCCTTTGCAGCTCCAGTCACATCAGTGTGTTAGAGAGGAGCCAAATGTTCGGGGGATGTGAACCGACGACGCCTTTGATCTTTTTTTTTTGTGCACGGCTAAAAATGGAAACGCAGAAGGGGAGGGAGGATATTTTTGGATTCCAGATGCAAAATGATTCAGAATATGCAATGAGGCAAAGGGAGCCCGTTAGCCTCGGCTACTACTTTCATTCACAAACTTTGTCTCACTGAAGTGGACTTGATTGAGAGGATGGCCCGATTATATAACGGGACTACAGCCATTCATAAGTTAGCTTTACATGAGACGCAGGATCCTCGTGATTCTGGTTCAGCGGTGCCTGCATTTCACTGGTGTGTGAGAGAGAGAGCAGGAGACTGTGAGGGAGAGAGAAAAGGGAAGCTGTGATGGTATTACACATTCTAATCATACGTTATCTGAGACAATGACTTATAAAAAATGCAGCTGCCTTAATGCATTGTGTGACACTTGCTGAGCATTTTATTAGGAAGGTAAGCTATTTCTCAAACATTGCTTCAAATGACATAGTTGTGACACGTGTGACATACCAATACTGGATACAGTTTTGTTTCCACCCTAAACTTTTGATGGTTGCAGACTTTTATACAGTGCCGTCTGATTTCACAGACGGCACAGTTTTGTTGCTTAATGGTGATTGGCAAACTGCTTATAGGTTTACCTCACTCCGATCTGCCGGCATCAGATTCTGCTCCACATCAGTGCGATTCAATTCACAATTTGTGCAGATTTGCAACTTGCACATTTGCACTTCAAGCCACCTGTCTTGCTTGGTGAATCCAGCAGAATGCCAACTGGGGAGGTTCCTGAAGTCTGCTGAACTAATTCTCAGCTGTATGAAAAACATTTAGACTTTTGTTTTGCATTATGGTGCGTTACCCTGCTGGATATAGCCATAAAAACATGGGGAAATCATGACAATAAGGGGTCACTACTCCACATTTAATCAATAGTTAATTATCTTTGCCTCACTTCGGCAGTGTTTACTGTCTTGTCTCTCTCCCATAACCCCCAATTGGTTGCGGCAGATGGCCGTCCCTCCCTGTGCCTGGTTCTGCTGGAGGTTTCTTCCTGTTAAAAGGGAGCTTTTCCTTCCCATTGTTGCCAAGTGCTTGCTCATAGGCAGTCATTTGATTGTTGGGGTTTTCTCTGTGTTGTTGTAGGGTCTTTACTAATGGTAAATGGCCTGTATTTATATAGCGCTTTACTAGTCCCTAAGGACCCCAAAGCGCTTTACACATCCAGTCATCCATTCATTCACGCACACATTCACACACTGGTGATGGCAAGCTACATTGTAGCCACAGCCACCCTGGGGCGCACTGACAGAGGCGAGGCACTGGACACTGGCGCCACCGGACCCTCTGACCACCACCAGTAGGCAACGGGTGAAGTGTCTTGCCCAAGGACACAACAACACAACATTCAACCTTCCGATTACAAGGCGAACTCCCAACTCTTGAGCCACGATCGCCCCAATATAAATTGCCCTGATGTGACTGCTTTTGCACTATATAAATAAAATTGAATTGAATTAATTGAAAGGGGATATACATGGTCAGTAACTATTCTGAACTTGATTGTGTGATTCATACTTTAATTGACTGGTTTTCTGGCCACAAAAGGTGCCAAGAAAACGCTGTTTCACCTCTAGCAGCATCCTGGACAGTCGAGTCCATGAGTTCATGCGTCATTTTAACCCTGCTTTCTGTCTGATAACTTTTTATCCTCTTGTCCCAATTTCGGCACAAGATGGTTGACTTTCAAAATGCTGAAGTTGAGGCGTTAAAATAAGAGTGGTTGGTAAAATTCTCATTTTGTTTAACTTTTCTGTGAAAACAGTTTTATTAAAAAAACAAAAAACAAAAATCAGTTATTGTCCTTATATCTTGTAAGGTGTCATGAAATCCTGCGCCCCAATGTTGTTCACATAGTAGCACTATCATTGGAACACCTAGCCAGTCTAACCTAGATTTGCCAGAGACTGCAGTTCCTAAAATAGATCTTGTTTTATTTGAGTGAAGGGAACATGCACTCAGCTGTAAAATGTTTTTCCTTTTTTTCCCTGTTCTGACTGCAAATCACTTCATTCTTAAAACAACTAAAAATAACCCAGCCTACGTTTTCCTCATCATTGTGCCTCCAGACTCCCCCTGCACTCTCCTCTCCTTTTCCCTGTACTATTTTTAGTTGCCCTCAGGATCCCCTGTGCTCGTGTTTGTCATTTTCTCTTCTCTTTTGCTCCTCCACTCCTCCCTTCTGTTTGGCTCTGCTGCAGCCCTAGAGGATGCTTGGCATCCCGGCATCATCTGCACTCAAGACAATCACACAAAGAGGAAAATGGGCACAGCAAAGGGCAGATAGATGGATGAGCACAAGAACAAATGAAGAGTAGTGTTAAAATAGCAAAAACATTTGCTTAAAATAAACTCTTTTAAGGTGGTATTTGTATTAGACATTCCAGAAAGAGCACAGAGAGCATTTGAACATGTACAAATTGAAAATTGCTGCAGCCGTTGTGCATAAGTCGTTGTGTTAAAATCAAGAATTCATCCTGTTTTAAAAATGGGTTGAATTTCAATGGTCCTTGCTTCTGGTAAAACGGTAAATAGAAAATCCAAAATCTGTAACTTGTGTCTCACAGGGTGATGTCAGCGACTCTTCTTAAATCTTAAGGTACACTGAGCATAGCTTATTATTAGGACATTGTAATAAAGGTAATATATGGAGAGAATTTCAAAAAATTAACTGATGACTTGCTTTTAAAAAGCAATTGCACTAAATGGTTGTATCACAGAGTCTTGCGTTGGTGCATTCCATGATGTTGTCCGACATATAAGATGTCCTTAGAGTAAGAGTATACATACTGGGGACATTAAAGTTTAAAATATTTAAATTCTTTCTGCACTGTTTATTTTACCTTGTGCCACCTGTACCACCAGAAGGAGGCAGTAAAGACCATAGAATATCTTCCAGACCACCATGACCTGTTGGACCACCAGTCCAACATGATCGAAAAATCAGGTCGGATATCCCTGTGTTGTGCGTTGTTCTTGGATCAACATTTTAATCAATCAACTATTCATCGAGGATCAACATTGCATCAGACCAATCACGCTGTTATGATGTCATAGCTTTGCAACGTGGGAAAACACCTGCTGATGTCCACTCAGGAAGAAATCCAAAAAAGGGGCCGTTAGGATTGGGGGTTGGGATGTGATCGCGGTTAGGGTTACAGGGCTATAGGTAGGGTGCGTCCATGTTGCAAAACTATAACTTTACTACAATGTAATTGGTCACATGTGTTCTTGAACCTGGACCAACATTAGTTTTGGTGATCCAGGAACTATACCAACATGATGATATCAGTTTGAGCAAAAAAGACTCCACAGTTTTGCTGATGGCCACTTACAGCTGTTTTTAAGGCAAGCCGAACTAAATAGATTCCCATGCTATGGGGCTGAAATGTTTTAAATTGAGACTTTAACATATAGTGTTCAAAACCAATGGGCACCATTATGATGTAACATTAGCTACATACATCCATTTTTATGCAGCGCATGGTTACTAACAGGTGTTGTAACCAGGATTGCTAGATGTGAAAATTATACAAAAGGGGATTATGCACCTCAGATCCCTCTTTAACTGTGGACTGTTGAAAGTGCAGTTGGGTGGAAGATGGTTAGTTTTGTCGACCTATAATTTTTGTCTCAGTTTTTGTCAACGACCTTTATCTTTTGTCTGACAAAAACAAGTCAATAACTAAATAAAAACTAATGCACGAGTAGGGCTGCTCAATTAATCGAATTTTAATCACGATTACGATCTGGGCTTTCAACGATCATTAAAAATGACTGAGCCGATTATTAGCCCCTCCCTCGTTTATCCGCGACACCTTAAAGGCTGGTCCGTAAAAATATTGTCGGGCATAAACCGGTCCGTGGTGCAAAAAAGGTTGGAGACCGCTGATTAAGAGGACCTGAGGGAAGCTCGGAAAGCTAAGCAGAAGTTATTTGGAGAGGAGAGTGACTGCCGTTGGTTGAAAAGAGAGGTAAAAAAAAAAAAAACTTCAGTGGTGTTGCACACTATTTTATATTATTTTTTAAAGTCATTGTTAACCCTTTAAAGCCGTCAGAGCAGCACGCTCCGTTTTGTGTAACTATTTTTAAATCCCTGTAGAACCTGAACCGTGTAAGCTAGCGCAATAATTTGTTTTGCATATGAAACCGGAGGAGTTGTACTTACATCTGATACCATCAGCTTGTCCTCGGTCACGGTTTCCTTCCACATAAAGCTTTGCAAAAATTGCATAAAAAGCGCTTGCAGGAACAAAAACATAATATTCCAGAAACACGCTTCGCTGATCCGATCAGCTGTTCGTAACACTTCCCACAGTGAAACAGGCGTCAGCGCGAACTATCACATGTCCGCCATTTCCTGGCCGAAACCGGAAGTGACGTCATTTTCGCGGAAATGTAGGTTTTTTTACTTGTAGGCCTTAAAGGCCTATACTGGTCATGTTAGACTTTTCTGAATAGTTTCTGGGATGCTTAGAACTCGAATTGCACTGCTGGAAATAGTTTATTTTGATGCACATGCTGTTTTCTTTGAAAATTTGCATCATAGGATTGTTTTTTTGTTTTTCCTGCAGTATATAAAAATTGGTGTATCTCCAAAATAAAACTATGAACACACTCAAAATAAGTTTCCTGTTGTTGTAAACTATTTTTTGCAACTTTTTTGTATTTAAAGTTTTGAGGGATAAACCTCTTAAATTTCTCCAAGTAGAAATATATGTAAAAAAACAAACAAAAACGATTTTCAATTTTTTTTTGTAGTTTATTGCACTTTTTTGCAATTAATGTAGTTACTATGGACTTAATTCATACATATTATTAAAATATGGGCTATAACAGTTGTATAGCAACTTGAAATGCTCCCATAAATGGCACTACAACATGTAAAAAAATAATATAAGCTCTGGCGGACTTGGTTCTATAGTAGGTCTTAAAGGGTTAAATAAATATTGTCAAATAATCGAGATCTCAATTTCAGTGAAAATAATCGTGATTATCATTTTTGCCATAATCGAGCAGCCCTATGCACGAGGATCAGAAACTCTGATGAAATCTATTGACACTTTCATCAAATGAAAACAGGATGAAAATATTCTAGAGAGATGAGACTTAGAACTAATTAAGTTGTGTAGTAAGGCCGAAAAAGTTTGGAAGTGATCCAGTGACAAGAAATTAGCTGTGCGGCGAGTTAGATGCCCACATTTGATCTGCCCCCAACAAACAGGGAGTGGGTCCTATGCTTCTGGGAGAAGAAGATTGGACATATTTTGCATTTGATGTCAAGGGAAATAAAACGCTTTGTAAACCGTGTGGAGCAACCAGTAAAAACATACCAAAATTTTACACTTGATATGATATTTAAATAACTAAAACTGAAAGAACTTAGATGCCTAAATTATGTCTAAAACTAAATGATGTTTTAGTCAAAAGACTGTGACTAAAACGAAATCAAAATTTGCCATCAAAATGAACACTGGTGGAACACACTGGAGGGACAGTCAGACAGTTCCCAGTGGAGCAGTACTTAGGCTTAAAATGCTCAACCCCCCTTTTTTAATCTTTAACTCGTAAGCTAAATCATCAGTGTGCATTCTCGTGAATAGTGAGAGTAGTTTGAGTACTGGAATTGCAATGAGGAACAGAACATGACTCATTCTTTAGTTTTAAACATTTCCTTTCCACAAACCTTTGTTGACTATTGTTTTTTGATGGTACCGTGCATATCTTTTGTTGACTATGAATGGTCCCAGGTAGTGAAGTTTGTTCTGAACAGACTGCACTTATGTCGGTGCACCTTGCATGTAGTATTTAATGAGCCTAAGCGTCCTAAAAGCCCTAGTAGCAGACCCTAGAGGCTGAACTGCTCAGTGCACCCAACCACACTGATGTGGTTTGACCTAACCCACACAGCAGCATTCCCATCTTAAGTGCACTTTACTTTCAGAAGTCTAATGCAAAAAAAAAAAAGTAAGAAGGGACTAAATGACAAAACAATAGGAATATAAAATATAATGGACAGTTTCTGAAAACACAAGAATGATATTGTACTCAAAGATGAGGCAAGTATTCCTCTCTAAGTAGGGCCTGGCAGGTCATTCAGGGACATATTGTAACATTTCGACTCACCACGCAACTCCCCATCCGCTTTTTTGTTATATTTAGCCAGAGGTGTGATGAATGGTTCCTTCTGAAAGATGGGAATTGCTAAAAATAGGATCCTGCTGCCGCTGCTGTTTGTGCCAGGCAGTTCCAGGGCATCTGCTCGCTCGACTGCCACTGATGACAGAGAGGACCTCTTTCCCCTCACCCTCCCTCACTCTCTTTTTGTCCTCCTTAGTCACCTCAGCTGCTCCCTGTCAACCGTGTCCTTCACTGCATCTAAAAGTAAATCCCTTTTATTGAGCTCAAGCTTTTTGCGCTGGGTCATAATTAGCCTTTCTACACAGCAATTTCTTGACATCACTTGTCAGTTAAGTATTGTGTCATGCTTCGAAGTAGATCTCTGTGCTGATAAAGTTCCTGTAGGTGGCACTCTTTAGCTGTTCATCTGTGGTGGCTAGCACCGCTCGGGTTTTCTGCAGTATGTTTTTTTGCTTCTATGTTTTGACAAACAAAGACAAAACAAGTCTAAAGTGGAAGAGGCAGAAAGGCTTCAGGTCCTCAAACTGACAGTGTGCATCTAAAGTATCTCTGATTGTGAAGTGGTCACTCACTGGAATCCTTCACAACAGGACAGTCCTCTAGTACTTTTGAACGAGAGTTCAATTCTGAAAAATGTGTAAATTCCTTTTTTACGTAGTGTTATAATTTCAGCTCCTTAGTACCAATAAATGAAACATTACTGCTACAATAAGCAACCTTGCTGTAAGGTTCTGTTTAATAGCGTGGCTATACATGTCTGGCAACAGTTTGAGGAAAGCCCCTTCCTGCCTAAGCTTGACGTTGACCCCTTAGATATATCTAGGCTCATTAAGAAATAGTTCTTTTTTGTTGTTGTTTTAAGCCAACTTGACTGACCTGCTCTTAGCCTCCAGAATCCCTGGGATGAACACAAAAGCTGAGTGTGAGCATCAGCTGGTTGACCGCCCTGCACCGATGCTCTTGTGGTGGAAATGGAGCAAATCCCAGGACCTAAGTTCCGAAATCTCCCTCAGCTTTGGAGGTTGTTAGAGAAGTGGATTAACCTCATTACTTGGCCCTGGGATGACATCAGTTACATTCATATGCCCATATATTTGGCTACATAGCACATGTCTTCTTTGGTCTGTTTAAATATGTTTTGCTTGCAACGCTCTGTTGTAACAGAAGTCAAAGCTACGGCCCGTAGAGATTAATGTGATTAAGTCGTAATGGGTCAGTCTGTGATATATTTTCCAATATGTTTTTCATATGTTTATCCAGTGTAATTGAGCATAAGGGAAAGGCTGTATATTTTTACATGTGTACAAAGGATCTTATTAAGGTGCGAGTAATGGTAATATAGTTTCCTTGCTAATTAAGTCTCTCTCTGTTTGTAGTTGTGACAGGAGCCACAGATGGGATTGGGAAAGCATATGCAGAAGAGGTAAGGGTCTCCCAGAGGTGTTGAGTTATGAACTTGTACTTGAAAATAGTATGTGCCTGTAATAGTAGATCTATAAACATGTAACACCTGATGGTGAGTACGGTTAAAAAAAATATTTTTTTTTTTTTCATTTTTATACAGAAAGTAACACATGGAGAGCCACACAAATGAGACAAAAGCATGGTCACTGAAATTTATTTATTTAGGAAAATGACCCAATATGATGCATGTGAGTTGCAAAGATTGATCTGTAACTGGTGTGAACATCTTGCACAGCAATAACTGCAACTAAATGTTGAGAGCCGGGGTGTGAAACACCAGGCTGGGGGGCCAGAATCGGCCTGGCAAAGACCCCAATCTGATCGACTATATGGCTTTGGAAAATGGGAAGAAAGAAACTTTAGGATTCTGTATTTTCAAGTTCTACAGCTTTTCCTTCTGATAAAGACCTACCCATCCTTAATCATATTACACCAGAGTAATTCAGTAATAAATAAAACAATTAGATTACAGAAAAGTTCCTTTTTTTTCAGTATCTACTATAAAAGTGTTTTTTTGTTTTTTTACAATGAGTAGTTAAACTTCATTAGACTAACAGGCCACTTAAGATCAAGGTGGGTTGTACGTGGCCCACGGTGTAATATGAGTTTAGAGTAACTGCTGATCAGTCCTTCACATCACTTTGGATGAGTGAGTTGAATTAAATGTTCAAAACATATTTAACTCGATGACAGGTATCCTCACATGAAGCGCTCGCTTCAGGCCATTCCACAATATCTTTTGATGAGTGAGACCTCGGCCATTCAAAACATTTATTCCTCTTGTTCGTTTTTTGTTTTTTTGTAGAATGACTAGTTTTCAGGACATCTTTTATCTTGATGCACTGTGTGACCCAGTTTCTCTTGAGATTCCATTCACGGATGTCCTTGAATTGCACTTTCGAATTTGCTGCTGTATTTAAAAATTTACTGTTCCATTAATGACGGCAAGCTGTCGTGGCCCACATGCAGCAAAACAGGCCTAATCTGTGATGTTTCAGAGATGGAATAAGGTCCTGACGCTCGAATGCAGCGATTTTCCCTTCTTCTAAACCAAACGCCTCTCGTATACACAATGAAGTTTTTCTTTGCTCTTAGCTGCCCACAGAGCTCTGTTCAAACAGCCTTCTGGCTTGCTAGTGTGATCTTTAGCAAACTGGCTCTGGGCAGCAGCGTTGGTTTTTGGAGTGCAGTGACTTTCCTCTTGTGACCCTGCCATCCATGCCATTGTTGCTTAGTGTTAAGGCACACACTGGGTCTATTTGTTGGCAGGCAGACCACTGCTGTGAACAAGAGCAGTGTTCTTGATTTGAAGTCTGGTTCAAAGTGAATCAATGGAGTCCAAACACTTATTGTCTGTTTTGCATCAAGTTTATGAGTTTTTGAGATACTACCTCACCTCAGAGACATGTGGTATAGAATCATTTTCAACAAGAATCTCTTATATTTCCCATTAAATTTATTTACTTGAGTTTCCATTTTTAGAAACCAAATGACAAAAATAAAATCTACAAACTTTGCTTTTTAAAAGCTTTTTCATCTGCATTTGGTTCACAAAGTTGCATTTTCAGTTTTCAATATTAATTTGGTATTAATTCAAAGTAATAACTTTGACGTCGTCATAATATTGCAGGATAGCCTAGTGCCAAAATGTAAAAGTCGATCAAAGAACCAGTTAAATGTTGATCATCAGTATGGATGTAAGTGCAGTGCGCATGTGTTTTACTTTGTTGACATATTTCATTTTTGTATTTGCAGCTCGCCCGCAAAGGATTTGCCATTGTGCTGATCAGCCGCTCTCAGGAGAAGCTGGATGATGTATCCAAGGCTATTGGTGAGATATGCACATGTTTATATTATTTCAAAATTGTTTCACCCCTGTAAAATTTTGGACATGGTTAAATATTCCTCTCCTTATTGCATCGGTCACCCTGATTGGTGCAATGTCTGTGTGCCTTGGTGATTTGTGAGAATCGCTGCAGGAAGTAGTTCAGCGTATTGCAGCCAGTCAGTCTGCACCCTGCTTATCAGAATGATTTGAAGTAAACAAAAACGCAGCTAAGGACAACATCTCACACGGATTCAGCTGAAATTATCTTCAGTTTATGTGTGAAAACATCTTTAGAGTCAGATTAAAACCTACCTGTGTTCCAGAGGCACCAGACTAATTTAGTTCATGTGTATGACCGCGACTTTTAGAGCCTCATTTGTCCCGAATCTGAAATCTTACAGCTTGCATAATAATACACTAGGGCTCAGTAACAAAAGAATAAATTATACTGCACTGAATTTAGTGTTTTAGCACAAGTGATCTCTTACTGAGTAGCCCTTTGCTGGACTCTTATGCTTTTGGTTATGAGGTAGTAAAATCTTTTACTGGAGCTGAAAGTGAATATGTCCAGTTAAATGAAAGCGTCCTCTTAAGGGAGGGATAACCTCACTGATGATTAATTTAGGGTTTAATACTTTGTTCCCCTTCCTTCCCTTTCTAAATCACTATTTAATAGTCATTTTTGCCATTCCTGAATGCTATTTGTGAGTATTGTTTTCTGGTATCTTTCATTGTGACTCAGATATAGTAAATTAAAATGCATACTTCTGTCCTCAGCCAGTAAATGTGGTGTGGAGACAAAAACAATTCAAGCAGACTTCAGTGCTGTTGACATCTACTCTAAGATTGAAGGAGGACTCACAGGACTGGAGATTGGAGTACTGGGTAAGACTGCAGGAGGTGCTGAGGCCAGTTCCCTTTTCACGAGTGTTAATCAGCCTGTCACACGATATGTCAAATCTTATCTCAACCACATCTGACAAACAATGAGTGCTGTGAAATCCACTGTGTTTTTCATGTATTCGGAAGGGTTAATTTATAAGCCTTTTACTGCCCCCTGAAGACTGAAATGAGGAATAACAGAGTCAATCCTGTATTCATAAAATACTTAATCTCTTTGAATAATTTGGCAATTCTGAATTTTTTTTGTCTTGTTAACAGTGAACAATGTTGGGATCTCCTACCCTTACCCTGAGTTCTTCCTCAGCGTCCCCAATCTCGACACTGTAAGTTCCAAGTTTTCTGATTATTGTATTTCACATTCAAATTATAGTTAGTATGAAAATACATGAATGTTTGCCCTTGATGTTTCTCCAGCGACTGCATATTCCACAGCATATATCGGCCCTCTGCTCTATTTCTGTAAACTGCTGTAGCGTTGAAGGAAATCTAAATTTTTTATTACTATTTAAAGTTAAGTAGATTAGGTCGCTTCACCTGCATTAGACAGCAGTCCAGTTTCTGTCAGTCTCACTCTCCTTAAATGGAGATCGGTATAGGTGGGACAGTTTTACACTCAGAGCAGTATTCTGCCTCTTAAAAGTGTTAAGTAGAAGAAGGGAAATTTGTTATTCATGAAGTCTTTAAGCTTTGTAAGTCATAAAGTCAGTAATGGCTGTTGCTCAGGAATTTCTAGCTGAAAGCAGGTGTAAAAGAATTTGTAGAAGAATGCGCGTGGTATTTCTTCCATGTGAATAGTCCTTTTACTGTTACAGAATACATTTTTTACGATTCCACCCTATCATGTTATCATTTACAGCAGTGGCTCCTAAGTGATTTGCTGCACAACTTGGGATTTTGTGTCAGCCATGCAGTGCTTTTTGTAAAACGAATCGATTACATCACTGCTATCTTAGCCACTCAGGCAAATTCTATAGCCTAACAAAAAATGAGAGGGATCCCAGGTATGCAGTTCCATTAACCGTTTAAAGCCGGTCGGAGCGGGCACGCTCCGTTTTGTGTAACTATTTTTAAATCCCAGTAGCACTGCAACCACGTAAGCTAGCGCAATAATTTTTTTTGCATATGAAACCAGAGGAGTTGTACTTACATCTTATGCCATCAGCTTGTCCTAAGTCACGGTTTCCTTCCACATATAGCTTTGCAAAAACTGCATAAAAAGTGCTTGCAGCAACAAAAACATAATATTCCAGAAACAGGCTTTGCCGATCTGATCAGCTGTTCATAACACTTCCTACATTGGAATAGACGTCAGCGCGAACTATCGCATGTCCGCCATTACCTGCCCGAAACTGGAAGTGACGTCATTTTCGCGAAAATTTTGTTTTTTACCTTCAGGGCCTCATGAGCCTATACTGGTGTTTTTAAAGGTTATGTTTGACTTTATGACTTTCTGTGTCGTTTCTGGGATGCTTAGGACTCATATTGCACTGCTGGAAATAGTTGATAGTTGATAGTTGCTGGAAATTTTGATGCACATGCTGTTTTTTTGCAAATTTGCATTATAATATTTATTTTCATTTTTCCTGCAGTGTATAAAAATTGGTGTATTTAAAAAAATAAAACTATGAAGACACTCAAAATAAATTTCCTGTGGTGGGAAACTATTTTGTGCAACTTTTTTGTATTTACAGTTTTGAGGGATAAGCCTCTTAAATTACTCTAACTAGAAATATATGTTAAAAAAACAAAAACGATTTTCAATTTTTTTGTAGTTTATTGCACTTTTTTGCCATTTATGTATTTACTATGCACTTAATGAATACATATTATTAAAATTTGGGCTATAACGGTTGTATTGATGTATAGAAACTTGAAATGCTCCCAAAAATGGCTCCACAGCATGTAAAAATATAATGATAAGCTCTGGCGGACTTGATTCTATGGTAGGTCTTAAAGGGTTAATGGTCACATTTCTTATAGCATGATGCATCAAAGGCCGTGATTGACAGTAAGGAGGAAAACAAAACAAAACAGTTAGCTAACAGGTAACCTTACATCTATAAAAAGAGATCCAATTTAAATAAATAAAAACCTTTTACTAGAAAATATCACGTAAGCTAGCTATCTTTTGGATTTATTCAGATCAGGGATATCAACAGCCTTCAGCCCGAGTGTGTCATCTGTCAGGAAAAGTTTGCTAGTGTTAACACTGTGCCAAGCGAGTGCAGGGCCCGTTTGGAAACTACACGGCCCTTCTGAAAGAAACTTGGCTTGTTTCAAAAGATTGCTGGATGTGACCCAAAAGCAACACGATTGTTGGATTGTGTGAATGTGTCTGATGAGCTGACAGAGGCGAGTCAGTTACACTAGATGTAAACGCACACACAGAGACTTTTTCTTTTTTACTTAAAAAGGCTTAAAAATGACAAAACAAACCTCATTTGCCAATGTTTACAATTCTACTTACAAGTACGTGCACCAGTGCAAAATGTAACCATCTGTACTAATCCACGTGTTCTTCTTGTTTCAGTTCATTGACACCCTGGTCAACATTAACATAACATCAGTGTGCCAGGTGAGTGTTGCTATATTCAAGTAATTACGTTTTTTTTCCCCTTAACAGGTTATCAGAGAGAGAAAAGAACCTTAAAATGTCAGTGTGAAAACAAATTAAATCTACTAAAGAAATTCCTGATTGCACTGCAGGTATTTCCACCTGCAAGCTAATACTTAGTAAAGCCACCTTTAGCGGTAATTACAGCATTGAATTTGTGTGGATCAATACAGCTACTTGGGACATAGCTCAGATTTTTTTTCTCCTCCAGTTTTTACTGAAAGGCACATGTGCTCAAACAAATGAAAAATAGCATTCAGGCATGTTCACAGAATTTCAGGGTGCTTTTTGATAGTCAGCATGAATGCCTGCTGCAGACCGCTCATCTTAAATGTCTGGCTCAGTCCCAAACTCCACACTGAGGACTCGTGATGCATAAATGTTTGTCATCCGTTTCCCCGTGGTGCGCTCTCTGTGGAATGAGTAATTAAAGCCGTCAAGGTGGATTCAGGTGTTTAGGATGGTTGGTAAGATAGATCCACAGTCAGGAAGTCCCACAGACCACCGAAGACCTCCACACATACACACACACACACACACACACACACACTGGCACAACACAGTGACTTATACCATAAGAAGTCACTTCTGTCCCAGTTCTCCATGTTCAGCAGTTCCCAGAGCAACAGCTACAGTCGACCCTCTCTCTTAACACTTAATTTATATTGTTCAATATTTCTTTAAACGGCTCCCTCTGCTATCATTATCATTTCTTTTCTCTTGTCTCTCCGACCAGCTCTTCACACAACACCCACACATTTACGAATGTGGATGAACTCCTCCACGTACAACCCACAAACAATAGCCGTTTTTGTCTGTCTCATGCTTTTATTCTGCATCACCCACTTCTAACCTTTTCTCTTTCTGTCTTTTTCCCCCATTATCATTGTTTTCTGTTTCCAGATGACACGTCTTGTTTTACCACAAATGGTGGAGAGGTAAGTTGTGTTTATACATCACCGTTGTCTGCGAATCTATAAAAGGTTCAACGCAGTGAATCCTGATCATTCATATGCACCTGTTTTGGAACCCGCTGCGAGATACGTGGGAGGCCGGTACGGTGGGATTGTGTAACAGGGCGCTGTGTTCGCCAACCAGCAGTGTGGTCAGTGAAAGATTAAACTGGGATTTCTGTGGTAGTGGTGAATGGATATTTAAAATATTAGATCTGGAAGATTCAGGATTTTTGGGAAACTTCTTCCTTGCAGCAAAAGAAGATATTGAAGCAAATCCCAGTCAACATCATTAGTATACAATCATAGACAGAAGAAATGTGGCAGAATGCTGGAATTTTCTGAAAAGATGTTGAACTTTATTATTATTTGACTACGCAGTGGGTCAAACGTGTCGTCAAATGACACGGGAATATTAGGTTTTCGATAAGTGAATTGTTCTTTTTCTGGGGCTGTGAGATCATGTAACATACACATTCGTGCATGGAAGAAAAGATTTTTTGTTAAAGTTATATTCCTAAAACACCCATTTGAGTGTCCTAATGGTTTGAGGTAATGCAAAAAAATTCTGAGGTAGTCTGTTTCCTTCATTATTGCATCCACTCTGTACCAGTTCAACTAGCAGCAAAACAGCCGCACAGCAACTTTCTACCCCGACCACAATGCTTGACAGTTTATGCTGTTTTCTTTAGCTTGAGTATCTCAGCATTGCTCCAAAACATATTTTTATAATTGTGGCAAAACAGCTCAATCTTTTAGTCTCATCGGACCATTAAATGTTCCTCCAGCAGGCGTTTTCTTGTCTATGTGGTCAGCTGCAACCTGTAGTTAGACTCTAGCCTCTTAGTCCATAGTGATTTAAAACACAATGCTGTTCCAGCAGATTCCAGAAACCACCGAGTCAGTGCCTGTGTCTGAGTTACATCTGACCATCTCACCTAATTTTGTCTTAGCTGAGTGTGACGGCAAAGAGGTGTCACTTCCTGCTGACTTGTATGTGTAGAACTGATTGAACTCATGATCTTGGACTTTTCAGTTTTTCAAGAGAAGTTCCTAACTTTTGTAACTCTGTGATCCTCTTTCTCATATCTGCACTGAGCTCCTTTTATTTTTCTGTTTTACTGTGTTTTGGACAGTCCAGTGGGTGTAGTCAAGTAAACCTCTTCTTTTCTTTATACGTCTCAGCTGTAAGAGGCTGATGGGGTATTGCAGTCACCCTCCAGGGAGATGTGGAAAACCAAGTTTGTGAATGCGATACCTTGAAAATAGACAATTCAAATAGACACCATGGGTGTGTCTACTAAAACACTTTGATGAATTCAAACCTGACTTTGACATCAAAGTTAGAGGTCGGAGGTGGATGTGATAACATGGAAACAAAAAAAAGGGCATAGTAGGATTTTGAAATTGATACCATAGTGTATGTACTAGGAGGGCGAGGGGTGCCACTGGCAGCCGCCAGTATTTTTATCTTGGTAAAGAGAAGCTACCAGCTGCAGTAAAACAGGAACTGAAGAGATCTTGGGCTTTTCATGTTAAGACATTTTTGGAAACTTTAGCACCAGTGAATTCATATATTTACTTCTGTTACTTACTGTTCACAATAGAACATAGAAAATATTTGAATGTTTAAGCAAGGAAAATGTAATATTGAAACAAAAACAGGCTTTTGATGCCAACAGACCTCAAAAAAGTTGTGGTGGGGCAGCAAAATACTGAAAAAGTAAGTGACACTGTAAAGAAACAGCTGGAGGAATTGATGGGGTTAACAGGCAACAGGTCAGTAACATGATTGATTGTATATTTAAAAAAACAGAGCATATTACTCAGAGTTTCTCTGAAGTGAAGCTGGACAGAGGAATAAGAATAATGTTTCCCAGTGTAAAATTGTACAGACTTTGAATATCTCATCATCTGTACCACATAACATCAAAAGATTCTGAGAAGCTGGAGAAATATCTGTGCAAGGTACAAGGCTGAAAATTAATATTGGATTCCCGTGATCTTCGGGCCCTCGGGCATCACGGGAATAAAAACAGACTTGATTTTGTCATGGAAATCCCTGCATGGGCTCAGTAACACTTCCAGAAATCAATGTGTGAGCACAGGTCACCGTGCCATCCACAAATGCAGGTTAAAGCTCTATCAAGAAGCCATATATGAACATGATCCAGAAACACTTCTGTCTTCTCTGGGCCAAAGCTTATTTAACATGGACAGAGGCAAAGTGGAAAACACAGAAGTTCTGTTTTGAAATCACGGAAGCTGTATCCTCTGGATCTAGGAAGAGAGGGACCATCCGGCGTGTCATCAGTGCTCAGTTCAAAAGCCTTTCTCTCTCTGATGGTACGGGTGTGCATTAGTGCCTATTGAATTAGCAGCTTTCACCATTGAAGCTGAACGATATATACACATTTGCTTCCATCCAGACAATGCTGGTATATTTCATCAAGACAAAGTCAAATCACCTCTTGCATCCATAACAGCATCATGGCCTCATAGTAGACGAGTTCAGGTGCTGTGATGGTTTGTCTGCAGTCCACGACTTTCACCATAACAAAAAGAATTTGGAATCATGAAAACCAAAATGTGACAAAGAAGACTCGGGACTGTTGAGCAGCTGGAATCCAGTATTAAATGAGAGTGGGACAACATTCTTCTCTAAAGATCCAGCAGATGATCTCCTCTGTTTCCAGATGTTTACATTATGTTAAAATATGAGGGGATGTCTAATAATGGTAAACATAGCCCGAGCTCAACTTTTTTGAGATGTGCTGCATTCATTTTAAGATAAGATAAGACCTTATTGATCCCACAACGGGGAAATTTTTGCATCACCTTAGCTCAGGTACAGATATCAGAAGGAAATACAAAAATACAAATAAGTACAATCAGTGAAAAAAAAGTAAGATAATACACTATATTCAATGGTAGCATACACAGTATGTGATTATGGATATGGTTGGAAATATGGAAGACATAAACTATATAGCTTGACATAACTATTGTACCACTACTATTCCTATTTATAGACATGTACACACACCCACATGTACACACTAAATATACATATGTATACATATACATACATATATACCAACTGTAAACAGCATTAACATTAGAATGAGCTGATAATTTTCATGAAGCAGGAAAATGCCTCAGTTTAAACCTTGAACATATTTTCTGTCTCCTCAAGTGAACATACTGGTAGCTAAAAAGCCAGTGAACAGTGAACAGCCAGTGAACTCCTCATTACAGACAGGTTCTGTAATGAGGAGTGGATCAAAATCCATCAATTACAACATCATGTTTGGCTTGCTGATCAAATACTTTTCACTCAGTGACATGCAGAACAATTCATAATTTTTATGCAATGTGGGTTTTTTAATTTCTAAATGAAACTACCATTAAAAGAGAGTTTTGATTTCTTTGGAAGTGACCATAGCTAAAAATTCAGCAGGCGATCAAATGATTTCCCCTTCTGTGTGTCAGCTCCAGGAAAAAGATCAGTTCACAGAAGTATATGACAACTTGGATTTCCTCTTTCGTTCTTTGGAAATAGAAGTCATGATAGATGTATCCTAATAAATGTGGCTCTGTGTTGAGGCATATTGGTTTGTTTTCTGTTTTCAAATAAGTCCTGGCACACTTGGTGTATGCTAATGTGTCGTGCAGTTATAAGCCGGTGGGCCGCATGCTTGATCGTAGGCTGTTGTTGACTAATGTGGCTGAATAATTCCACAAGGGATGGGTCACGCAAACTGCCAGATATTATAATAGAAAGATGATTCCTTCATTGGTCTTTTTCTTTTTTTGTTAAATGAAATGTATGCAAGCACCGCAGGCTAGAGTTGAACTATTCCCCACATTGTAAACATTTAGGTATCTTGATGAAATCTTTGATCCTATCTGTATCTACCAGTTCCACTTTGATGTACAGCAAGAGCAGTTTTGGCTCAGCATGCAAGTACACATACTACCGTCTTCTTTTTGTTACCTGGGGATTGAAGTGTTTGTTGCACATCTTTCTTTTCACTCGTAATTTGCTTCTTTAAAAAAAAAGCACCGGCTTGTCTTGCTGTTTTTAGGAAGAAGGGAGCCATCCTCAACATCTCGTCTGCCAGCGGCATGTACCCTGTTCCTCTTCTTACTGTCTATTCTGCCTCCAAGGTAATTGCGCTACATGGTTTATGACCTTTTCATAAAGTGTTAACTGAAGTTGGACTCAGCTTACCATGTACTGAAGAGGAATCCATCTCATCTTATGAATTATTCTAATTGAACAGCGTACTGATAATTTATTGACGATGGTGATTGAAGTTTGTCCAATATTTATTTAGAAGAAGGGATGAAGTGGGGTTTTTTTTGTTGTTTTGTTTTTTAATTTTGCTGTTTTTATTCAAAATAAATGAGCCGGTGAGTAACTCGGGTCCTGAGGTAGTGTACCAATTAAATGTTTATAGGAACATGTGGCATCATAATGTTTTATCACGGTCTCATGTGCATTTGTTATCTTAAATACAGCCTGCTGTTCACAGTTTTCCTGGTTAATTTACTGCTGTCTTAATCCTGGGTCCCGTCCTGGCTGCTGTTTTTAAATAAGCAGCTAAAATTAGCCTTTGCAACATCTTGAGTTTGTCGTCCAGTTTGCTGATAATTTCGTCTGCTGGTACCATTGATACAGTCACTCATTGATTTCGTTTTTAATATGTTTTTAATAAATTTTGACAGTTTAAAGGATCTTTTCAGTGTCACCTTTTTGCCACCTTTCTAGATCTTTGTGATTTAATGAGCTACATTTATTTCATGTAGGCATTTGTGGACTTCTTTTCACGAGGACTGCAGGCTGAATACAAGAATAAGGGGATCATTATTCAGGTAAAGTTTATACCACTGCGAAAGACCCACATATTTAATATAGACATAACTGTAGTTATTAATGCAAATTTCATAGGACTTCAGGCCAAAAAAACACGTTTCTGAATACTGTATTGATACATTAGAGTTACACAATTTGACACATTGTAACTTATAATCTCATTGTTCTCTTCTTCCAGAGTGTTTTGCCATTTTTTGTTGCGACTAAGCTGAGTAAAATCCGACGGGCTACACTGGACAAGCCCAGCCCAGAGCGCTATGTTGCATCTCAGCTCAACACTGTGGGGCTACAGACCCAGACCAATGGCTATCTGCCTCATGCCATAATGGTAGGTTCTCATGTGTAAATTGGAGCATCATTTATTCAGCCTTGGTATCATCTTTTTGCAGCGTGGACACCAAAGTTTGCACAGACATTAACAAGGCGTTGTAGGATTTTCAAATATATTTCATAGATTCATTTACTAAAAATCCAGGACAAGTTTGACTTTGACGTATCATGTGACATATCATGCTTCTCTGTCGGGCAATGCGATGGATGAGTCTGGGTTTGGCGGTTGCTAGGAGAACGGTACTTGTCTGCCTGCATTGTGCCAAGTGTAAAGTTTGGTGGAGAGGGGATTATGGTGTGGGGATGAGAGAGTTTAGTGTGGAAGAATTTGACTGTCTTGCACAGAGTCCTGACTTCAACCTCATATAAAACCTTTGGGATGAATTAGAGCGGAGACTGCGAGCCAGGCCTTCTCGTCCAATCAGTGTGAGACCTCACAAATATGCGTCTGGAAGAATGGCAAAAAATTCCCATAAACAATCCTTAAACCTTGTGGAAAGCCTTCCCAGACCATTTGAAGCTGTTAAAGCTGTGATAGGTTGGCCCACATCATATTAAACCATATAGACTAGGAATGAGATGTCAGTCAAGGTCATATATGGGTGAAGGCAGATGAGCGAATATTTTGGGAGTATAATGTGTTTTGAAAACACCTTTAGTTGGTGTAGGAGCCAAGATTTGTGTAACCAATTTAACAACAAAATCAAATACATTTCATTTGCACAGTACATAATCCTGACTGTATCTGCAGATGGATAAGCTTTTAACGGCTGGCAGTAACTAACCATGACTAACAATATTGGGATGCTATAGCTGCTTTGATATTTGTGTGTACAATAAACCTGCTGCTGACAGTGACTCGAGCTCCGCTGAAAGTGCTTCAGTTAGTTGGAACTTAAAATGACTCGACAGGCCAGTTCTTACTCGGCAAATGGTAGTCTTAATGACAATAAAAGATAGGGGAGCACATAAAAGCAATGCTATTTTAACACAACTGGTTTCTCTGTAGTAGTAATGGATCTGCTGCAGCGTAACACTCACGATAACGAGCGAGAATCGTACTGCAGGTAGTCAAGGTATGTGATGGCAACAGGACTGAAACCCCATCAGGCGGCAGTTTCACTTTATACAAAATAGCCTCCTACAGGCTCATCTCCATTCACTGAATTAATGTTGTGTCAACAGTTGCTAAAGCATCTGTCAAAAGGTAAACATCCTCTGAAATAATGGAGTGGGATGCTCAGCTATCTTTTCAGTATTGTCTGCATCCTAACACTGCAATTACTCTGCAGAGAAATGAGCATCAGAAATGAGATGGAAACACAAACATAGTTTTGCTTTTCTTTTTTTTTGGAGGCGTCTTCGTTTTTAGCAGAGGTCACTGAGAGCAGCAGTCATTTTCTCTTTACAGTTCCTTCATGCTGTGCTGTACACCAGTGAACTGTGTGACATGAATATCAATGATCTTGTTTATTGATGTGCATATAAATAAGAATAGGGTCTATTAAGAGCATACAGGTGGTCAATACATTCTAATCAGCATAAGTAAGCTTTATTCGAGAATAAAAAAAGAATTCTTTTTTCTTTTTTGTGGATAAGATAAAGTCAGCACTCTTTCCTGCCTCCAGCCTCTGTATGAGGTGCAGAGAAAAGGTTTGCGTGTGCAGAATCAAAGCCTGTACCCGAGTTATACTCGCTTCAATGTTGTCTCATTACAGCTCCCTCTTGGTAGCCCTGTTCTGACCATTTGCAGGTTTGCAGTTGTTATTTCACCGTGAGCCTTGAACTTAAATTGTATCGGCTCGCCCAACTTTCACATCTAGTGTCATCACTCTTGGTGAGCCAGGTCTCCGGCTACAATCGAGGGCGAAGAGCCCACATTCCAGAAACTAGAGATGGCACGATACCACTTTTTTATGTCCGATACCGATATCATAAATTTGGATATCTGCCGATACCGATATGAATCCGATATAGTGTATTTTTTTTAATCAATAAAACTGTTTTTTTAATATCTTGCTGCATTTTGTATAAGTTCATACTCAAGTTTAAAAAAACAACAACACTAAAGCTATTCTGTTATACCTGTATGTAAAAAAAAAATATTTCATAGTTCAGCAATACTGATCAATCTAATAAACTTAAACCTACACCATCCTCCCTATTCTGGTATTTTAAAGAGTACTTAGCGTAAATATTAAGCAACCTAACTAATAGGGTTCCAACTCCCAGCAACAACAACAACAAAAAAATAAAAAATAGGGAACCACCCCTCACCCTCCACCTCATGATGCTTAATCGACGTAATCAACTTTAATTTGATGCAGTGTGAAAAAAATACACAGAAATCAATTATTTTTCAAGAAATATTAAATAGATTCAACATCTTTCTTTAACAGAATTGCAGACTGCACAGATGGTGCCTTCCCAAAGGAAAAAGTAAAAGCTTACTAGGGTATATATATTAGACTTAATAGTTACTATATACAGTTATGGACTTCTATTCATTTTACATCAAATTAAAACTTCGGGTGTGAGATTCAGATAATTATTTATTAAAAGCTAGACATTTTAAATGAGAATAAGAAAGAAAAGTATGTCTTTGTGCCCCCCTTTTCCCTGTTAATGCCCTATCGGCCCCCCTGGCTAAACTTTGCTAGATCCGCCCCTGCACAGTTACCAGCCGTCAGCTACGTAGAAAAGGATCCTGGTGTAATATTAAATAAATTCTAACAACAGATTAACAAGCTTAAACGTGCTGCTGTTGTTCAGCCGCTGGTTCCCTCTTTCTGGTGCAAAGTGGGCCAAAAACAAACAAGAGAGACGGAGTCGCGACAGAAAAGCCGATCAGCTGATCATTAAGCAGTTTCATGATTGAAGTAGCAGCAGGAGAGAGAGAGAAGAGGCAGTCGCTCCATAAATCGGTTGTTAAGCTTAACGTGGGAATGCTTTACAAACATTCAGAGATGGACTTTCACACTTGCTTTATGTCTCTCGGGGATAACTTTGTCGGAGATGAAATGCTGGGTTGGTAGCGAATCTCCAAATGCTCAACCATACCACCGACAGGTCTCGCACACCACAGCCACTCTATCACGTGATGCATACTGCTCCAACGTGCTACGGTTCTGAGGCGAGTCACGGCGTGTCGCAAGTTTTGTGAGGTGCTTTCGTGATATTTAATGGATCGGATTACATTTTTTATTTCTCTCCGATATCCGATCCAGTAATTTAGGTCAGTATCGGACCGATACCGACACGTACTATCGGATCGGTCCATCTCTACCAGAAACTGTAACTGAAGTTACCAGGGCTTGCCAGTATTACAGTGTATCATAGTGCTTCCTCTTGTAGCACAGTTATTGATACACTGGTGCCAAATAACAGTGTTTTTGATAATACATCAAACCCAGTCATTTACACTTACCCGTGTTATGACTGTGTGACTCTTCACTTAACTAGTAAATGAGGGAGAGTGAACAAAAGTTGGACTGGGCAGCAAGGAAAAGCTGAAACTGAAAACTATTAGAGATACTGACATAATCTCTATGTCAGTATCCTTCCGACAGTATTTCTGTCAACTTCGGCCTGCTTAATATCCGTTCGCTTACGAACAAAGGACATCTCATCCAGGATCTCCTAACAGACCGTAAGTTTGACTTTTTCTGCTTGACTGAGACATGGCAACAGCCCAATGACTTTTCGCAACTCAACGACTCCACTGGAAAGTCTCGCCGCTGTCCGCCCCTACTTACAGCTCTTTTGAATCTGTTGTTTGTCAACTTTCAGGACCTACCCCAACTGTAATAGCTGTCATCTACCGCCCCCCAAAATTTAATTCTGTTTTCATCAGTGACTTTGCCGATCTGCTGACCAATCTAGCTACTGTCTCCCCTAATATAATATTGCTGGGTGACTTTAACGTTCACGTGGATAACTGCGACCATCCTCTTACCAAGGACCTTCTATCCTGCCTTGATAGTTTCAGCCTTAAACAATACATAAACTTCCCTACCCACATTAAGGGCCACACTTTGGACCTAGTCTGCTGTTCTGGACTTACCCCCTCCATCTGTACAGCTGACGAACTGCTAATTTCGGATCATCTACTTCTCTCCTTTAATGTTCACATGACCCTCTCTGTAATTAACAATCCCCGTATTATCTCTTTCCGGAATATCAAGAATATAAATCTTGATATCCTTTCCTCTGCTTTTTCTAGCTGCTTGTCTTCTAACAACTTAGCTATTCAAGAGGACCTGGTACTTTTTTATAATCATAGCCTTAGTAGTATTTTAAATTCCCTGGCTCCACAAAAAACCAGAACTGTACTTTTTTCTCGCTCTGCACCCTGGTACACCCCTGAACTCCGGCTACTGAAAGCTAAAGGCCGACAGCTTGAACGTCTCTATAAGAAAACTGGCCTTACTATTCATAAGGATATGTTTAATAACCACGTTCTGTTTTACCAGGAATGTATTAGTCAAACCAAATCTGCTTATTACTCTGCTATTGTCTGCTCAAGTAAGAACTCTACCAAGACCCTTTTCTCACTATTCAACTCTTTTAACAGGCCACCTGATTCTCTCCCTGCTCATCTCTATTCATCTAACTTCTGTGATGCTCTAATGCTATTCTTTATTGATAAAATTCATAAAATACACTTAGACCTGGACCCTAATGCTCAATGTAGCTTCTCTGTCCTAACTTCTCCCCCTTCTCACTTCCTCTCTGTTTTTCAACTTCCATCCTTAGTTGATATTGCTGATCTCATCCATAAATCAAAGCCTTCTACCTGCCAGCTCGATCCTATCCCCACTGTCCTCGTCAAAGCCTGCTTACTCCCTCTCCTTCCCCTCATATCTGCTATTATTCACTCTTCACTCACCACTGGAACTGTTCCTGCTTCCTTCAAAGTTGCTGCTATTACCCCAATTCTGAAAAAAACTGGTCTAGATCCCAACAACTTTAATAATTTTCGTCCTATCTCCAATCTACCATTTCTCTCAAAAATCCTTGAAAAAATAGTTGCTTCACAAGTCCATCTTCACCTAACTGATAATAACCTTTATGAACAGTTCCAGTCTGGCTTTCGTCCTCTACATAGCACTGAAACTGCTCTTATAAAAATAACAAACGACCTTCTTATAGCAGCTGATTCTGGTCTCCTCTCCATCCTTATCCTTCTTGATCTGAGTGCAGCTTTTGACACCATCTCTCATCCCATTCTCCTTAGCAGATTAGCTTCTATTGGTCTCTCTCACACTCCACTAGCCTGGTTTAAATCATACCTATCTGACCGCACTCAGTTCATTCAATTAAAATCCTTCACTTCTCAGCTTTCTCCTTTATCCACTGGGGTGCCCCAGGGATCTGTCCTCGGGCCCCTTCTTTTCATCATCTACCTTCTTCCACTCGGACATATTTTTCGTAAATATAATATTCAGTTCCACTGCTACGCCGATGACACCCAGCTCTATCTCTCTACCAAACCTGACTCTACTCTTCCTCCACCCTCCCTCATCCTCTGTCTAGCTGAACTTAATTCTTGGTTCTCCTCCAACTTTCTTAAACTCAACAGCAATAAATCGGAACTTCTTCTGGTTGGCACTAAACGACTGCTATCCAGAATTAACAATTTCTCTCTCACCATCAATAACTCGCTGGTCCCTATCTCTCCCTCTGTGAAAAGCTTGGGTGTCATTCTCGATAGCACATTATCCTTTAACTCACATATCAATAATATTACACGTGCAGCATATTTCCAACTCCGTAACATTAATCGCCTCCGCCCCTTCCTCACACCTCACGCCACTGCCATTCTCATCCATAATCTTGTTATCTCTAGAATTGACTACTGCAACTCATTATTATTTGGCCTCACACAAAAATCTATCAACAAGCTCCAACGTGTCCAGAACTCTGCTGCCCGTATTATTACTAGGACTTCTTCTACCCACCACATCTCCCCAATCCTGAAGCAACTTCACTGGCTCCCGGTCAAATTTCGCATCCATTTTAAAATAATTCTGTATACATTCAAGGCTATTCATTCTCTCTCTCCACCGTACCTCTCTGACTTATTACAGATGAAGCTCCCATCCCGCTGCCTCAGATCTTCATCTTCTTTCTCTCTCTGTTCCCTCTGCTCGTCTGATCACAATGGGAGGGAGGGCCTTTAGCTGCTCTGCCCCTCGACTTTGGAATTCCCTACCCCCGGACCTCAGAAATATTAGTTCATTCTCTCTTTTTAAGTCCACCCTCAAAACTCATCTGTTTAAAATTGCCTATTCTTAAATTTCTGTATGTTTTAATTTTTATCTTCTATTTTTACCATTGTGTATATTTCCAGTTTTTATCTGTTGTACAGTGTCCTTGGGTGCTTTGAAAGGCGCTATTTAAATAAAATGTATTATTATTATTATTATTATCATAACAAAGCAGTGCATAATACAGTAAATGCAGTCCCAGTCAGAAGTTTGGACACACTCGTGTAATCCTACTTATAGTGACGTCACCTGGGTGATTGTCTTGCAGCAGTGCATCAACATGTTAATCAAAGGCAATGTATCGTAATGATAAGCACTTGGAAGTAGGGCTGGGCCATATCATACCGTTCACGGTAATACCAGTATAATGTTGGGCAACGATAAGAAAATGAAATCTCGCAATAGAATATGGGTAAAACGCGCATGCGCGGTGCCTTTGTTTTCATACGCACATGGCGGAAAAAGCATGACGACGACGGAGAATGAGAAGGGCGAAAGTGGATCGTTGAATGAAACAGATGAACCAGAATTGGTTTGTAAAAATGCTGCAACTTCAGTGGTGTGGGACTGGTTTAGCTTTCATCCGTCAGATAAACAACAAAGCACTATTTTTGGTAGAGCGTGCTAGCGGGCCGTCGTTATTACCGTGTTTTTTGGAAAATACGGCACACTTAAAATCAATCCTTTGATGTTTCTGAAAATCGACAGTGCCCCTTATAATCCCGTGCGCCTCATGTATGAATTCTGGTTGTGTTTACTGACCTCAAAACGATTTTATGTACACGGCGCTCGAAAATCTGTCAAATGTTTTAGTACGACTTTGCTAAGCTAGGAACCCGCACTGCTTGATGGATTGTCGGAGCATTACGGCTGTCGTAGGCAGGAGCCTCTGCGGAGTGATACGTACTGTGCTTCAACATAATATTACCATATTGTGTGTAATTAAGTTTTGTGGATATACATGGTTATGCTGAGGATTTGTTGGCCAATATTCACTGGAAATGCCTTTTGGTTAAACTGTCAGCAAGGAATTTGTATTTGCACTGTTAGATTTTTAGATAACTTTAATGCACATAAAAAACAGCTGCTCGTTTAAGTGAAAATACATTGATGTGGGTTTTTTTTGCACTAATAAAGTTGTGGAGTTGTAAAGTATTTTGTCTAGTGTCAATTATATCGTCAGTTATATCGTTATCGCAAATTTTCAAATGGATATAGTGATAAATATTTTTGGTCATATCGCCCGGCTGTACTTGAATGATTCCCATCCCTACTGCGAAGTGTGAATCCTTCCCTCGGGATCAGAATGTAAGCATGATGTTTTGTGGCAGCGGCGGTGACTGAACTGTTGTGTATGCCCGCTTAAAAGGGACATCAACGCAGTCGTTTTCACCCGACGTATTTGCCAGATCGGTCTCTCTGCAACTCATTCATCCTCCTCACACAAGTTGAGGGTTTGTCTTTGTCACACAGTGGAGGAGGTCCAGTACACGCTGCTCACTGGCACATACAGATGGCCGTAGTGTGATTTTCTTTGTCCTAAAGCTGACACAAAAAGTCACACTGGCTTTCCACGATTACAACCCCCTCGGTTTTAATAATATGTTATTTTAGATAAGAAATGAATTTCAGCTTTAAAGTAAATAAAGCATGAAAAATGAAAAGGGGAAAAAAGGAAATTACTAGTAATTATCTGGATGTGTTTCTAAGTCTCTGAAATGCTCTATTACTTAAACTGTTCCTTGATTGTAAAATAAGTTTACTGTAATCATAATTGAAATCAGTGTGATACTGTTGTCTTTAAAGGTAAGGTAACAGACTTTTTGGCTAAAGCGGAAACGTTTAATTTGAGCTGCCTGTTAGTATATGATGTATAGCATGCAAATTAGATGAATTTACCCATAGAGTCAAAGGGGAGAGAGATAGAATTTTACAACTGGCTATAAAGGAACCATGGGATTGTCTGTGTAGCGTTTGATGACATCAGTGAGAAAAGATTTGCATAATGCTGAAATGGTTTTATGATCTTTATGCAAAATACACAGTTATTGCAGGGACTTGTACTAAAAGGCGTGTAGTTCAAGCATAATTTGAAAAGGGCACAGGCATTAAAACGGCACAATTGCCGGAATTTTCCTGCGCGCAAACGTGCTCGCCACATTTGTTGCTCCTGTGGGTTGGAAATTAATAATGAATGCTAATCTGTTATTTGTAAATGCCACCAGCTGACCATGTAATTTCCCTCTGTAGGGTTGGGTGACTACAGCTCTGCTCCCAGCCAAGATCCTCAACAGCCACGTGATGGGGATGGGTTTGTCCCAGCGCGCTCGTTACCTCAAGAAGCAGAAGCAGGGGTAGACGGATCGGTGGAGGCCAAGACAGAGGGATTAACGACTCGTCCGACTACCATCATCATCATCACGGACCCGAGCAGATGAACGTGACAGTTTCTGGGCAAACATCTCAGTTTTGTCTCCCTCTGATATTTGCTAGCTCATAGATGATGTGAGGCAGTATCTGGCCACATTAAAAGCATTCAATCCAAACAGTTGTGCAAACAATATTGATTAAAGCGTTGCTCTTTACTAAGTGAACAGCTTTAATGAATGGGACACTAATGTTAAAACTAAAACCAACAACAACAACAAAAAAATAACCATCTGTCTGCAAAGCGTAATCAAAAAATGAACCCCGCGGGAGAAGATTTAAAAGATTTGGACGTGTCTGTTGTTTCAGACCTCCTGTGAGTTTGTGGACTAGCTTCAAGCTGCTTAATAAAAACTGGAGGCGCTTACTGTTTTGAAAGCACTTAGTGAGTTATCAAGACTTATGAAAAGTTTATTTTTTCAACCATTTCTACTGTGATGTTAAAAACGTCCTTAATTCCATCATTGTTGTCGTCTGCAAACGCACAACTTTCTGTTGAAAAGTACCACATGCTTATTCAAAAACATCCTTTTTTTTTTTTTAAACTTCCTCTACTGTTGATGGGTTAGCGAAGGTGCTGCTTGTGTCATTTAACCCAACTATACATTGCGTGTATAAACATGAAGAGCATAGAGGGAGAGTTTGTGATGGTTAGAATACTAAAAATGTGTTTTGTTTACAGTCATGATTGAGTTTCCGTGTCATTCTCACAGCACACTTGACATTCCAAAAATGTATTTTATTCCACGATAAATGAGTGGGTGGCTTGTTTTTTTTTTCTATGCAGTAAGTGGGTCACATCAACATTTATCTCCATCTTTACAGACGTTTTATTTTTATTTTTTCTCAAGTCTTGGATTCGCTGAAATGTTGTACCCCATGTACAGATGAAGTGAAGCAGAAAACAAATTCTAATCTGACATTTGTTTGACATTCTTTTGTGACTTTTGACTTCATCCAGTATGGCAGTAGTGGTCTCACACATTACTTGCTTTGTTTGGAGTAATCTAAATGTTGTTAAGGTGTACTGTCGTTGCAGACGTCAATAAAAATGCTTTTCAACTAACTTCATCCAGTCGTTTGTCCACATGTCCTGTGTTCAGTCACCTTTTTTACCCCTCAGCCATAAAAGGCTCATAGGGCATTGTTGTCATCCCGCTGGGCAGTCAACGTGGACACGCAAGTTTGTGAATATGATAAATCAAGAAGAAGATGATGTAGGATTTTCAAATTGATACCATAGGTGTATTTACTAAAAATCTTGGGTGCATTTGAATCTCAGTGACCTGGATGTCATGTTTCTGAAAATCACCTAGGATTTTCACATTTATAGCCATCGGTGTATCTAGTAGGAAGCTGAGGGGTAGCAATGGTAGCCACCAGTATTTTTCGTAACTGGCATTTTGAATTGTGTATTTTAGCCAACTAGCCATTCTCTTCCACTTATTCTTATCATGGTCGTAGGGAGGCAGGAGCCTATCCTAGCCACCAAAGGGCGAGAGGCGGATTAAACCCTGAACAGGTTGCCAATCTGATGCAGGGCTTAACACAGCAAGACAGACAACCATTCGCGTTCACATTTACACCTAGGGGCAATTAAGGCTCACCAGTTAACCTAACCCCACTAATTGCATGTGTTTGGACTGTGGGAGGAAGCCGGAGCTCCCACGGAAATACCAGGAGAACATGAAAACTCCACACAGATAGGCCCTGGCCAGATTGCAGACTCAAACTCGGGACCTCCTTGCTGTGAAGCGACAGCCGACTACAGTATGCCTCATGTATTTTAAACTATATTAATCAAATGTGTCAGTTAGGTCTTTGTAGTTTTTAAAATTTTATTCTTTAGGATTTATAGTTGGTTAAAATATAAATTAGCTTTGTAGACAGTCATCAGTTACCAAAAAATTGCAGTTCCTGAAATGCCCACTTAAGGCTGCCTTGAAAAGAGAGTCGACCGCACTGATTCCTATGTTAAAATGCCAAACTTTACATCATGTTCAGACCCTGGAACGTAAAACAAGTTTGGTCTCTATAACTGAACACCTGCACACTTGTGCAGATAGTGATTTATTTAGTTATATATATATTTTTTAAAGAGAGGAAAGTCTAAGATGTTTTGTACATATGCAGAGGAAGGATATAGTGAACAAAGTATGGCAACCGTGGCAACCCCTAAATGGAACAGAAGAAGAAGATAAATTGCTACATTTTTATTAAAGCTTTAACTCTGCATCATGTTCGCACAAGTGGACCTTTCAGCTGTGGTTATCGTGTATTTCCTTGCTGTGTGGTTTATTTCACTGTCCAATAAGTCTGAGGTGCCTCGGTGGAATTCTACTATCTTATTAGTGTGGTATCTGTGCATGAATTAGCAGGCGTTTGTGCACACAGCCTAAGGATGTACCCTGCCTACAAGGCTTACTAGTATTAATCTGATAATTTTCAAATCCATCATCTTGTCTAAATGTGGTCACTTCTGGCTCCAAAAAGCCAACCACAAATCAGTTGGTAATGTCACTACGTTTTATGTACAGCCTGTGGTTAACGTGTGTGTCTATCACATACCATCACACTTAAATGCTAAGTGTAAAAACTCTGTAAACTCTACTGTGTAATGAATTTGTCTTACATACCTATATTTAACACTAATTACCAGCTCACATAGCTTCCTAAAGTGGCTTTTTACCATTTTTGTCATTTTCACAGTCCATACCAATGTGCTGCTTTTTCACTGTTCTGCCTCTTCCCTCCCAAACATCACTGTCCGGTTCCCATGCCAACAGTTTCTGGGAGATTATTCCGGTGCACTGGTATGGAAGCTGCGGAAATGTGTCATCACAGAGAATGTAGGAGGGGAGAGGAGCTCTGTGTGGAGGGATGCCCAAAGGAAGAAGCGAGTGGGCTGCGGAGATGTATATAAAGAAGATCTCAGTGGCGATCAGACTCCACTGCTTACTCGCACTTTGTAATTTCACTGCAGAGTTTTAAGAACGACGAGCAGATTGGAAAAGGAGCAAAACAGGATCTCTCACATCATCTTATCAAGCAGAACCTTCAGAGAGATGTCAGCCAGCTTTTGCTGATTGACTACTTCATATTGTTATAAATTTTACTCTTTTTTGTTTTATTTTTGTATTTTCTGTCCCAAAACAGTCCAGGCTGATTTGACACTCAAGAATTTTTAAAACAAAACCTTTAAAGTCGTACATGCTACGCTTCCGTCTCCCTTAAGAGCTTCACTGTCTACAGCTCATCATCCTCACATTTGGGCCACTGTTCACCATGGCGACCAGCATGGACACGCTCCCTGCCCATCTGCTGCCTTTGGTGATGGAGGAGTTTCCCCAGTCTCTGGCCACAGCTTGTGTCTGCAGGGCAGGACAACGTGAGCCCCGCCTCCGCTGCGTGCAGTGTGGCATCATCGAGGAGGAAGAGGAGGACTGCTCCACCCTAGAGGAGGACCAGGCCCTGCGCTCGTTCCTGCAGACCGTGGAGAGCCTGAGGAGGAGTACCAGATGAGCTGATCCAAAGGGAGTTCTAGCACGACTGTGACATGTTTGACCTATTTGGCTTCCCTACAACCCGTTTGGACCAACAGATGTCTACAGTGTTATGGATGCAGACTGTGCTGACATGAAACCTCTGTGGGTGGTGGTTTTTTCACCATCATTGTTGGAGAACATACAGTACATGCCAACTTGGCAGCAGAGACTGCACTGAGTGAAGACATTGAGAACTCTTTGTTATCATAGAGCCAGTTCAAAGGTACTGGCATATACATATATTTTATCTACACTGTCAGAACAAATGACCTTTATTGTATTCAATATGTGCACAGCTTTACCATCACCCTGCCGCACTGCTATTTGTCATGAACACGATTAGCTTCCTTGTTGTTTGTGTTCATACTGCCTGCTGTTAAGATTTTGAATTTCATATAAAAACTTTGTGTTTGAACCTTTATTTTGTTGCCTGTCTGTAATTAATATATAAAATTTCCAGTTAAAGCTGAGAAAAACACTCAGTACATCAATATGCTACAATTATTCATACCTTATAGTAGAAGCTGTGTTTTGAGGAGGAATGTTGATTTACAAGCTATTAGATTTTTTCTTCAGGGCTAACCAGGCGGTGGCACTATTGACACACTTTCTTTGAGCTACAAAGCGCAGAGTATACTGTCCTACTCAAGAATCAGAATCAGAATCAGAAACTTTATTGTCATTGTCATGAGAACAACGAAATTAAGAATGGTCCCCGATCATTGCATCATCCCTAGCAATATCAAAATATAAATAAAACAATAAAATTCAATAAATAAAATAGATAGAATACTTAAAATACTAATAAGATATAACAGTAAAACATTCACATACATTCCCACACACATGCTTCAGACCGTGCATAGATTAACACAAGAGTGGCGTGATGGACATTTTTTTGTAGTATTCAGATGTGTTATTGCAGTTGGATAACAGCTGTGTTTGAGTCTATTAGTCCTTGCTCTGATTGCCCTGTACCGTCTGCCTGAGGGCAACAGTTCGAACAGGGAGTGGCCAGGATGTGAGGTGTCTTTTATGATGTTTTGGGCCTTTTTAAAACAGTGGGCGTTGTGTAGAACTTCCAGTGTGGGGAGAGGGCAGCCAGTGATCTTTTGGGCGGTGTTAATGATCCCTTGGAGTGCTTTCCTCTGAGCCCCTGTGCAGCTAGTGTACCAGATGCATATGCAGTAAGTTAGAACACTCTCAATGGTGGCTCTGTAGAAGGACACCAGCAGTCTCTGTGTGATGTTATTCCTCCTGAGAATTCTCAGGAAGTACACTCTCTGTTGGGCCTTTTTCAGCAGCTCGGAGGTGTTCACACTCCAGGAAAGGTTCTCCTCTATATTGACTCCCAGGAAGCGGAAGCTTGCCACCCTTTCTACACAGTCCCCATTTATGAATAGTGGTTGGATCTCTGCCTTTTTCCTTCTGAAGTCTATTATGAGTTCTTTGGTTTTTGAAGTGTTGAGGAGGAGGTTATTGGCCTTACACCATGACGTCAGCTGCTCCACCTCGTCTCTGTACGTAGACTCGTCTCCCTTGGAAATGAGCCCCACCACTGTGGTGTCATCTGCAAATTTCACAAAGATGTTGCTGTGGTGGCGAGGAGTGCAGTCGTGTGTGTAGAGAGAGTAGAGCAGTGGACTGAGCACACAGCCCTGGGGTGAGCCAGTGCTGAGACTCAGGGCTGAGGATGTGTGATGGCCAACTCTGACTCTCTGTCTACGGCCCGAGAGGAAGCTATTGATCCACATGCAGGTGCTGTATGGAAGCCCCAGGTCTTGTAGCTTGGCCACCAGTTTGTGTGGAAGGATGGTGTTAAAAGCTGAGCAGTAATCCACGAAGAGCATCCGCACATAGCTACCATGCTCTTCCAGGTGAGTTAATGCAGCATGGAGTGCTGTGGCTACAGCGTCTTCCGTGGATCGGTTTGCTCTGTAGGCAAACTGGTGTGGATCCAGGCTGCGGGGCAGGGCTGCTGTGATGTGTCTGCGGACCAGCTTCTCAAAGCATTTCATTACCACTGGGGTGAGTGCCACCGGTCTGTAGTCATTCAGGCCGGTGATGTGGGGCTTCTTAGGCAAGGGGACTATGGTGGAGGACTTCAGGCAGAGTGGGACAGTCGCCTGTGCGAGGGATTTGTTGAAAATCCTGGTGAAGATCCCAGCCAGCTGTCCTGCACAATCCCTCAATATTCGACCTGGCACACCATCAGGACCCGCCGCCTTCCTCAGGTTAACAGCCTGCAGCATGCGCCTCACCTCGTGCTCTTCCAGAGTGAGGGTGGTGCTGCTATGGGTGGCGTGTTGCTGCTGTGGCTCCAATACCTCCGGTACCCTGGTCTCAAAGCGGGCAAAGAAGATATTCAGCTCCTCTGCCAGCTCCAGGTCACCGTCCGCAGCTCCGAGATTGATCTTATAGTTGGTTAGGTGCTGGATGCCTTGCCACAACTCAACAGCCCAGCTTAACGCCATATTCACAGCTGAAATCTTTAAATTATCCGTGTCACTGCAGATATAACTCAAC